CCAATGGTATAGCTTTGGGTATCACAGCAACAGATGAGCCACCGCCGTAGGACAATCTGACAGACCAACAGGGGTAGATGAAGCTGAATCCCGCAGAAGAAGTGCTGGAATTGTGACCACGATACCCTGGTTTCAACAGGGTTTGGAAATAAGATTTCCTCCGATATGCTAAGTAGACCATACAGAGGAGGGTGGACTCCAAATCTCATCCCTGGTTTGCAACTCAGAGGAGAGCCGAGGAGAGACCTCGCGTGGGGTGAGACAGGATAGACAAGGAATTGAACTCTGAGGAATCAAGGAATACCCAGGACCACACATACTGAAGCTGTGCACACGGCAGAGCTCTTGGGCACTGGAAGGAACAGGGGGGCTAAAAAAGCAGATATCTACACTTCAGCCTGGACCATGGGCTACAGGACCAAAGTCCTTCATTGCCAGGGGAGAGGGGTTGCCGAGTAATTTTTCTCTGAAAAGGGGGTGGTAGGTCAAGTAAGTTTGGAAAGCTATCTTTTAGACCTTTAACCTCGATCACTGTGTGAATGTAAAATTCTTTCCTTTTAAAGTCTAAAGGAGAGATAGCGAGAGACCATGCAAGTAAAGCATTGAGCACATTGCCCAGGCTTAGGACATACTAGCTACTCATATTTGGGGAGTCAGACCTGTCTGTGGAGTGGGGAGGGCCTGGGCGCCTTTGGGAGGCAGAGAAGATAGCAGGGGTGGGCAGAGGTGGGCAGAGTTCAGCCCACCCCCAGTTTCATTTACCCAGTCAGCTAACGCGGGCAGGCAGGTGCCCTCTCCTTGCTCCTCGGCCTGACTCATTTTCCAAGGGGGACTGTTGTCAAGGCCCTGGTGTGAGCAACTCGGTCATGTACATGACCAAGGGCAGGGGCCATGGATGGGTGGGAGGAGGTCATACTAGACACAAGGGGACAGGGTGGAACAGAAGGTCCTTTCGGAAAGAACATCCCTGTCACTGCTCGGCCGCATCTGTTTGCAGTCTCCACACTGAGGCCAGGGGGCCATGGGGAAGCACCCTGGCAGGTTTGCTTTGTCCTTGGCCCAGGACCCAATGAGAAAGCAGAGGAACAGGGAGAGCCTGGCGCCTCTTCTTCAGGGGACCATGTACCTGATAAATGGCGTTTTTATGATAACGTTCCTGATGCTGGGAGGTCTGTGAACCAAACACTTGGGGTGTGTGCCTCGAGAGGAGTGGATTCCAGAGAGCTGTCAGGTCCAGCTTGTTGGCCGGATATGAAGAGAAAACGAAAAGAACCACACACTCCCCCCACCCCCGACGCCCCCAAAAGCAACCCTTACAGACCAGTTAATTCCAACTCCTAGCTGCCCTATAGGATGGAGTAGAACTTCCTGGTGAGGTTCCAGTGGATGTAAATTTTTCTGGAAGCAGACTGCTCCACCTATCTCCTTCAGAGCCACTGTTGAGTTCAGACCATTGACCGTGCAGTTAGTAGCCCCACACTCAACCCACTGCACCAAGCCAGGCTTGTTAACACGAGACGGAAGGTAGGTATCTCACACCAGCCTCTGCTCCTACTAGCCCAAAGAAGCAGGGAGCAAGTTCAATGGGGGAAGCACCTGTTAGAGGAGAAAAGAGACACCCCAATATTCACTGCCATCCATTCTGACTCCTAGTGACCCTGCCGTTAGCCATCCAACATGGACCCACCAGCACCAACAACCCCCCTGTTGTCAGAGTCTAACTCCTGGTGACTCCATGCGTTACAACGAAGGATGGCTCCACACCGTTTTTCTTGGCTGCTGTCTTTCGGGAAGTAGATTGGCAGGCCTTCCTTCCTCAGTGCGGCTGGATGGATTCGAACTGCCGACTTTCAGGTTCATGAAAGGGCACACGCGGTTTCCACCACACAGGGGTTCTTGGTAAAAACACACCCTTCAGAACACACCCAGTGGGTTGATTCCACAGGCTGAGTCCCTGGGGGCCAGTCAGATGTTTGGAGAGACAGTCTCTGGGCTGGGGCTGGGGGTCGGGAGAAGAAGCATTAGCCTCTATGAGTGTGTGTGGAACACTTTCTCATTGTGGACAGGTGTGGACCACAGACAGGCCCAGAGAAAAAGAACTAATGCAGGATCTTCAGTTTCTGCTTCAGGCCTTTCCGAATGTTCAAGTTTCCTAAAAGGAATTTTACTATTGCAATTAGAAACAAAACAAGCATAAATTGTTCATATTTTAAAAGGTCCAGTGTATCCCTGACCTGAAGCCACTCTCCCTTTGGCTCCGTGGAAAGGTCTGGAGCTGGGCCACCGGCTAGACCTTTGCTGCAGGCCCTGGTGAGCGCTGAGCGCAGAGCCTGGAACCCGAAGCTCAGCATGAAATAAAACACAGGGCCTGCGATGTGGTTTGGGCTCATGGTCACCCAATGTGCGTCGGAATGGGCCTGCGCTCCACAGGGGTTTCGATGGCTGGCTTTTCCACCGTAGACTTCCAGGACCTTCTTCCAGTGTCCCGCTGAGTGGACTCAGACTTACAACCTTTCCTTTCCGAGTATGGTCACCGCTTGAACTGCCCAGTGACTCCCAGGGAAGGTCATTTATCCTCACAGCACCAAATGTGGCTGCCTAGGAAATGGGAGCACCTTCTTGCTGACTCCTGCAAAACGCCTTTGCAAAGGGCAAGGGGCAGCCCTGTTGGCACAGTGGTGACAACTTGGGCTATGTGTCAGTCTGGGTGGACTAGAGAAACAAATCCA